AAACTGAAAACGAGTTGAAAGTTGCAATGGTGAAATAAAATTTCACACTCGTTTTAACAGCGTAACTGATACTAAAAGTGTACTGTCTAAAACAAAGTTGAAGCAAGCCTAACAGTTTAAAAAATTCAAATATCTAAACCTTATGGTGAACTCACAAGAGATGATTATGACGAAATTGAGAAACTCTTCAGCGAAATAAAAAAAAACTGTATTTCAAGCAAAAACTGAAAAGGTTAAAGCTAATTATTTATGTTGAAATATATGACAATGTCAATGAATGGACTATTGATTACAGATTAGACAAGTTATACTCGATACAATATTTTTTACTGTTCAGAGGTCTAAAAACACATTTTAATCACATCAACTTTTTTTTCACAAAGAGTCAGCGAGAGAAATAAATAGAGGGAGAGAATTAGAGAAGACAAATCGAATCGGAGATCTGAAAAATTTTTGATGAAGCAATTGATGAGCTTAATGCGAATAAGTTACCGTTTTTTTCTCTCATTTTTCTTTTGTTTTAATAATACTAAAAAGTGAATCTACTAATTTTTTGGACACAACTAAGCTGTGTAGTAACGTCGGTTTGGCTTTCAATATTATCTTGTTTAGTTGGGTGCGTGCTACAAAACCCAAGCAGATAAACAAAAAAATGATTCCTTGACAAGACTATTTATGGCAGTTTTAGGACTTTCCGGACTTTTATGGAGTTGATTTTCTGTTTTTTTGGTGGAAAAACTTTTTGTTCCAAATACGAAAGAGTGTAATTTTTCTGCAAAGATATTCAACCTGTTGTTAGTGAAAAAATTAACGTTTTTACTTTTCAAACATCAATTGTGAAGTCTGATCAATTTGATCCTTTCAGAATCATTGAAAGCATTTTACTAGTGTCTGATGACTCATACGAAAAAACTAACAATAAAAAACTTAAACTACTAGCGGCAGGAAGACACGAGGGCTCAGATTTTAAATATGCCAAACATGATTTATTCAAACAAACTCGATGATCACAAATGATTAACTGTGATCTACGACACGAGGGGAAAATTGCATTGACAAAAATAACGTATCCCTTTCCTTTTAAAATTATAATTAGTGTACTTCAAAATTACAAAAAATTAAACCAAGCCTACCAGTTTCAAAAACGTAAATAACTATATCATTTGATGGAGAGACAGGTGAAATCACAATGGGTGATTATGGCGAAACCAAGAAATTTTTCAACAGAATCAATTGGAAGATTGATCTTAATAATTTAAGTTATAGCATCGACCCCATTATCAAAAATCTCTCAATATGGATGAAATAATGAGCAGCATTTTATTTGAGAGTCTACATGTTGACCAGTATTTTAGGATTCAAAGGTATACGGGATGGTATAGGTTACTTCAAAAGGTATCGAAGGTATAGTGTACTTCAAAAATACAAAATTAAACCAAGCCTACCAGTTTCAAAAAATCAAATAACTATACCATTTGATAGAGAGACAGGTCAAATCACAATGGGTGATTATGGCGAAACCAAGAAGTTTTTCAACAGAATCAATCGGAAGACTGATCTTAATAATTTAAGTTATAGCATCGACCCCATTATCAAAAATCTCTCAATATGGATGCAATAATGGGCAGCATTTTATTTGAGAGTCTACATGTTGGCCAGTATTTTAGGATTCAAAGGTATACGGGATGGAAAGCTACCCTATTGATCGTAAAAAAGGCAGTCATATTCAAAAAACCGGCTTTAAAAAGGACATAGTTAGAACAAGGCTAACAGTTTCAAAAGATAAAGTATCTACCCCATATAATAGAGAGTTCAGTGAAATCACGAGAAGTGATTTTGATGAATTCGAGAAACTATTCAACGAAATCAATCGGAAGATTGATCTTGATATTTTCAGTTATAGCTTTGACCCCATTATCAATTATCTTTCAGTTTGAATGCATTATTGGGCGAGTCTTTCATATGAGAGTCCACATATTCCCAGTATCTTAGGATTCAAAGGTATACTAGGTGGAAACAGCTACCATATTGCTTATAAAGAATCCAGTAGAATCCATAGCACTCTCACTTTAAAAATTTGTTTAATCCGACTACCCTGTTTATATCTGGAACCCAATTGGTATTTATCTACTTGGACATCATTCATTATCAGATCGTCGGTGACCCCAATGCCCCGTTTCTAAGAGTCTAATACAAATCGAAGAGTGACAAACGATTACGCTTGCAGCATTGAACCAAGCTATCGCAATTTGAGTTTTAAAAAACTCCTCATGAACATCTTTCAGAGCATTACGGTAAACCTACGAACAGAAACTGGTTGGCAAATTTTAGCATTTACGCGTAAAAGAGAAATAAATTGTTTCGAACTAGAAATTTCCAATGTTTACTGCTTAAGAATCTGGAGGCTTGTTGCAATTGTCCGCAGGAAATCTGGTTTGATTAAAAAAAAGAAAACCACAAAAAAATAAACAAGAGGCCCCATTCCAAAGAAACAAATTCT